GGGGGGATACCACGGACGAGAGATGGGGGGGGGAGGCGAGGGAGAAGACCAAGATCGCTATAGCGTAGTCCAAAAAAATAATCCCTGGCCGAGTGTCCAATCAATGTCTGCCGCAAACAAAATGTCGAATCAGATCCTGGGCATATGCCCGTGAAACCTCTGCCTGAAGAATCTCTCTCTCTCTCTCTCTCTCTGAAAGAAGAAGAAGAAGAAGAAGAAGGAGGAGGAGGAAGGAATAAGAAGAGGTGGAGGGCGAGACAGATAGAAGAAGAAGATGATGTCGTCCTCCTCACTGACTCACCTGCAGGTAACTGCTGCCAAGTACTGACGTCACCGGCGTACCCTGTGCTGCAGGTCGCTGGAGCCAAGTCCAGCTATGGCGCCCAGGTACGTACTCGAACGCTGCAGGCATGGCCTCCGCCCTGTCTCCCTACCTACTCCGCGACCTCTAACGCAGCGCAGCGCTGTTGCGTGCGGTGCTGATCCAGCAGCGTGTTGCCCAAGAAGTGAGCTACTCGAATTGTCCGTTGCCCAGTCTCTGCCCAGCTATATGCAGCGCTGGGCGAGGCTGGACCTCCCTGGTGCCGGCCTCAAAAACTGCCCAGCCGGTCTGGGTCCCTACTGGACGTCCAGACTGTGCTGCTGATGCAGCAGGGCGCCAAAAACACGCGCCTGGCCTTTTGTAGGTCCTGCCTCTGGTACCCAGTCCCAAGGTCGTGCCTTGGGGACTGCAAGTCTGAAACGACACCTGCACAGACCACGACGGTTCAGCAGGTAAGTAAGTAAATAAATAAATAAATAACTAAATAAATAACTATATGCTGCCTATATTTGCCGTAGGTGGCCTGGGGGCCGCCGTGGGCCTCCAGGGGGTATGTCTGATGGGCATGCAGCCTGGGGACCCCTTCAGCAACCGTTGGGCCCCTCGAATGGGGCCCGTGTACAGGCACAGCATGTAACATAGGAGGAGGAGGAAGAAGGGGACTAGGAGAGGAGCGCCAGGGGTACTTACCTGGCTATGGTGGACACCATCTTCATCACCTTGGTGGGCGCTGCATCTGCAAGGTCCCCATTGGGGTAGAGCTGTATCAAGAAGCTTCGAAGCAGAGTCAGGCATGGCGGCCTCAAAGGAAGAGGTCATAGCTGCTTTGCGTTGTCTTTTTTGCACGTCAGGGCAAGGCTCTTAGCAGTCTGCCATAGCCTCGGCCTGGATGAAGAAAAGAGAGGAGGGCGGCCATGGCTCTGATGGACCTCTTGTTGTGCTGGCAGTAGAAGAGGGATTCCGACATTGATTCTGGTCCAGCCATTCGTCATTATTATCCCTATTCCCTATACTATTAAAAACTGTAGAGGGCCCGACGTGACGCTTCCCAGCAGGCCCAAGGAAATTCGGAGCTGTGCCAAACCTCGGGTCCCAGGGAAATTCGGTGCCGCGCAAGGAAATTCGGTGTCGCGCGAAACATCGGGCCCACGCCGCGCGCTGGTCTTCTCGCTGTAAATCGGAGGGGCGCGTCGCGTCGGTCCCAGGCGGACTCGCTGCCGCGCGCTGGGCTGAAAACGGAAGCGCGTATGGAAAACGGACGAAAGCGCAGCGCGTCGCATCGGGCCCAGGCGGACTCGCTGCCGCGCGCCTCGCACTTGGAAGGGAGCAGACAAACGCAGTCGTTTCTTTTGCACGCCTCGCACTTGGAAGGGAGCAGACAAACGCAGTCGTTTCTTTTTTTTTTAATCCTCACCTTTTGGGTGGTTTTTCGCATGCTACTATTCGGGCGCCGTCCGAGAGTGGGAGGAGGTTGTGTGAGGGGGAGGAGGAGGAGGTGCAAGCGGGAGGAGGAGGTTGTGCAAGCGGGAGGAGGAGGTCGGA